GAGCCCATGGACATGGGGGGCTTTGTGGGGTATAAACCCTAAATCCTAAACCCTGAGCCTATAGACATGGGAGACTGTGTGTGATAGCCGTTCTCACACGCACACACTCAGAACCAGACATTAGATATGAAAATTAGAGCCAGACACTAGTTATAAAACTCAGAACCAGACATTAGTTATAAAGTGTGTGGGTGCGCCGCTTCTCCCTTCTCGTGGTATACCCACTGGTATAAAATGAAAGAGATCACATTGCACTGACAGTCACTGGAAAGGGACCGTACCTGCCCGACCTCACGACTGCGCCAATGTAAATGGAGTGTACTATCCCTTTAGGTGTACGAGTGTACCATCCCTTTCACAAGCGGAGAAGTGTTAACTTTCCATGAACATTCGTTCAAAGGCGGAGCGTCAGGCGTACTGGTGTCCGTCCTCGTAAGTGTCATACCAACGTATATCAAGGGGCTGTCAAACCCCATGGATAGCCACTACAATAACAAGGATGACGCGTGTGTGCACATGCACATGCTCGCGACACGCCAACTTAGAAACCAGAGATATCACTAAACCCTAAAACCCTAAAAACGACACGCGCTAAAGAGCTTCTGACATGTGATACGAAATCAAAGGAACGTTGCACTTCACTGATAAGGCATTCGGAATGGGGACTTAATAGCGCTGGCACACCTTGCTTTGTGAGGTTAGTAACAGCGCAGAGCAAACACTTCGCCAGAGGAAGGAGAACAGCCTGTAGTCACAGGGGATATGAAAAGCCACGGATAAAACGGTTATGATACCGGATGGCTCAGCCCAATTGCGAGTGTTTAAGCTTTGTAATACTGTTGTATGGAGATGCTGCGTTGTCTGGTGCGACTACATCCGTGCGTCACAGTTCGCAACGACTAGAAGGGCCATGCGCGAGCCCTGATATTATAGGACATACTAAGTATCAATAGTAATAATAAACATATCAGCCACACTTGCTATTATAAGACATAGTAAGCATCAAAAATAATAATAAAACAGCCACACCTGCTATTATCAGACATACTAAGCATCAATAAAAGAACATAACAGCCACACCGACATTGTATGGCACGCACAATGCGACTAAACTGATAGACACACAAAACAACACATTATAGCACTTCTACGTGAGAACATACAAAACAACACATCATAGCACTTCTACGTGAGAAATCACAAAACAACACATTGTAATCTACATGAGATCACACAAAACAACACATTATAGCATTTCTACGTGAGAACACACCTTCGGGATATGGCCGTCGCGACATGAAGACGCCACTACTCGCGAGGGACCGCATGTCTCTCCTATCTGTCCCGCGTAGCGAGGAAAAGTTGTCCACCCGGCAATCGTAGACTAACCCCCCCCCCCACTATCATGCACTGCCACAGGCGAATTGCTGGTACGCCGTTGATCTACGAATCAACAAGCTACTTGGAATACAGGGACTCGGATGATTGAAGTGAGTGCATAGCAACATGGTGGAGAAAGTGCACAGTAACCTAGTGGAGAAAGTGCATTCTGCTGCCCACAGGGGGCATGTCTGGCCCAACGCGCCGAGCACCGTGCTGACCTGTGTGAAGTTAGATACGATGCGATATACTACGAGTCTACTGAGTCAACAGCAGCGTAGGTGTTCGGAATGTCTATGTTTGCCAAACCGATACATACAGGTTCGGAGGTGTGATTGTGATAGTTTCGCCACAGTGCTTTCAGTTCTGGATGGTGTGAGCAACAGAATAATAGGAACGAAATGAGTCAATAGTACGTATAGGAATACACAGACGGACCTCACACAACACAAGAAAGAAACCCGATTGTCTCGAATAGATTATTTTCAGTCAAGTTTTATTGATACCTTATTATTCAGTCCTGCACATGACGACCAATCGGTGGAAGCCGATCATCACGCCGCATAAGGGTGGGGATAGGAACGGGGTCTATCCTCAACCTTGGGTTATTTCTCGCGCTCGGCAGATTGTATTACTCACAGATTCTTTATATACACTCATACGCTCTCAACCCGCGATGCCTATGCTATAATCACCGTTCATATACGACCGTAATACACGGTCGCTTATGTATACATACACCTTGTGTACACGAGCACACCAGGCGTCCTTGTATAGTATGTCTAACATACCACAGAGCTCTCTCTATCTTTGTCTTGTCTGGACCCGGAATTGACATCATGCGAGTCGGTTACAACATCGACTGCTGTTTCCTTCTTTTCACTCATAAGGGGAGGTCCGGGTAATACAAGCGACCCTTCGAAGGCGCCTGGGTTACTGAGACCAAGCTTTGACATTTCATCGGGAGACATCTCAGGCTGATACTCGGCACGGATGCCAATGGTATATTTAAGACCCAGCATTAGGATGACGGTTACTGTGAAGGCCCATGCGGCAACCACAACAATATCGAAGACCTGGTATGCCAGTTGGATGGGGCGCCCGTAGAAGGCACCATCCGCACCCCAATCGTTAACAGTTGTCGTTGCGAAAAGTCCAGTCGAGAAGGCACCGATCATACCACCAACCCCGTGTGAGCAGAATACGTACAGTGAATCATCGACCCAAGACAAGTGTGCGTACTTCATCCACGCCCAGAGTACAAGATAGGAAATTGCAGAACCGTAGATGCCCATGAGCAGAGCATACCCTGGAATGACAAACCCTGCGGCGGGTGTGATAACAACAAGACCACATACTCCACCGTACAAAGCACCTTCTAAGTCGACCTTTTTCTTCAATACAAGATCAATTATAGCCCATGTGAACATCGAAGTTCCTGCACAGACCTGAGTGTTCAGTAGTGCCAAAGCAGCGACCGAATCGGCTGCCAGAGATGAACCTCCGTTGAAGCCCATCCATCCGATCCACAACATAGTAGCTCCAAGAAGGTTGAGCGTGAGTTTAACTGGGGCCTCATCGCGATCTTCCTTGTGACGCTTGCCTAAAACTAAAGCACAGGCAAGTGCTGACACACCCGATGAAATGTGGACTACAGAACCACCGGCAAAATCAAGAGAACCTCCTCCTTCACTGTTACCTGCGATGTCTCCGATAGAGTGGACAAATCCTCCATTGCCCCATACCCAATGGCAGACGGGGTCATACACTAGAGTGGTCCACAGGAATATGAAGATCAGGAAGGACTCGGCCTTCATGCGACCAACAACAGCGCCGGTGATAAGTGCGGCGGTGATAATAGCGAAGGACAATTGGAAGCCAACGAAGAGAAGATCCTGGGTAGGGACATCTACAAGTGCTGCGTAGTCGAAGTTACCGTAGAACACTCCGTCGCCACCAAATGCTAAAGAGAAACCGAACAGTACCCATTGTATCGTAATTAGACCTATTACAACACACGTCTTTGTGAGTGTGTCGATAATGTGTTTGTCACGGCACAATGATCCGTAGAAGAACGCTAGTCCGAACGTCATCATAAAGACCAACGCCGTGGCTGTCAATATCCAAGCTATGGACGCTCCATCGTATCCTGCGGTGAAGATCGCTTCGGCTGAGGGGTCTGACATTTTGGATGTTTTTTTAAAATCAACACTACCGAATGTTTTGTTCTCTGTGTGTGAATGACATAAGTCAACGCTATTGCCTTACTTAAATATAAAAATCCGCGTCGCTTAGTCAGCTAATCTATTTCAGAAAACTTTTGCAAGAATATTAAAAACGTATAAGGGACACGACCGATGACAATGGTGACAAGGGTGTTTACCAATTACCACACGCCGCACGGGTGAGCCCGTGAGAGGTTGTTCATCGTGCGTTTTACTTGTGTTGAAAATCATTTTATGAATCTTCAAGCGAGTAGTTTTTTCTGCAGCGCTGAGCGCGGTGCTATCGACGCGATAGAAGAATCATAAATAAATCCCGTGTAGTGTACAGTTGTTTTTTTAAATTTATCATATTTACCGAATAAAATAGTCCGGCGTCAGTATTTTAATCACTGACAGGCCGTCAGCAGCAGGGGTACAGAAAAATATTTTCTCTCCTCTCTCCCCTTTAAAAAATTTGTGTGTGTGTGCGTGATTTTTTAAAACTATGTCTGCGTCTGTTTGGCTATAAAGACGCGCCTAAAAACAGAAAACATAAATAAATATAAATATTTATGAACTCAAATCTTGACCATTCTAAAATACTATTTTTTCGTATCATATGTTTTTCTAGAGAAAAATATAAAAATCCAATAAATAGTCACATGATAGGAGTAGCAGATTATTTGGTTTTATTATCAAATAAACACTGTTGTAATTATTTTTTGATTATTTATTTGTTTTTTTTTAAATTTAAATATTTATAGTGAACTATTATGTAGTATTTTTTTTTGTATAGTAATCAGTCACTCTCTCTACTACTATGTAAATATTTAGTGGTATTTAGCAGTTAGCACAGACCCAGCCATGCCCACCCCAAGCAGGGTGACCAGGCCCCGGGCCCAGAATATCAGTGATAAATATATCTGATTGGTCAATTTTGTCCTAAGTTATAGTTGTTGTGTTGAGAACATAGAACTTGTGAGTCTTGGGAGTCGGGAGTCCCTTGGAGTCTTGGACTCTGGGAAAAGTTTCCCAAATTTAGAGTACATATTATACAGTATTGATTTTTTTTAAACAAAACAGAGTACATTATGTCCAAACTCCACTGATTACTTTGTTTGTTTTATTTAAAAAAAAGGCCTCTCTCAGACTTTAGACTTCAGAGTTTGAGTTCTAGTTCTGAGTTCAGACAGGCTCACAAGCCTTAAGTCTCAACTGGCTCAACAGGCTCCCTGACTTAGACTCTCAGGCGTCTCAGCAGTCAGCAGTTCAACACGATCATAGCGTCTCTGCTACATTTACGATTCGTGGGAAGAAACCAGATTTCTGCTCGCGACCCTAATCCAGAGGGCCGTGCTCTCAGGCTCTCAAGTCTCAGCTGTAGCGGTGTATTTCGGTGCCTTTTTTTACTCTTGAGTTGTTACGTAATTATGTTTAGGCCCTGCTGGCGTCTCTCGACCCGGACAGGCTGGCCCTGGTCCTATAATACTGTATGTCTACTAACTCCCAATTTTTTGTTTGATTTCCATTGGTTGAAATTTGATCAGATAAGCCATTTTGTCATCAGTTTTCGATACCAAAGGGCGATTTGTGACTTCTTGTGTTTGTCGTTAGAGCTATTTCCGTATTTGTGGCAAAAATTCGTGATTTCCCAAATAAATATTCTTTTATGATTGGCCATAAGAATGGAATTTGAATCAGAATGATGTGTTTCACTCTTTTGGCTTTTTCGGCTTAAACCGTTTGCTACTTGGTAGTTGTATGGCAACCATGCTCATTGCGTACCTCTTAATACGGAATTCAAATGACGAATTCTGAGGAAGGCACACAAATCTGACAATCCGATATTAAAAACAAAAGCATGTCTGCACAAAAACGTCAAAGTATAAGGATTAGGGATAAATCGACAAAATTGTAAATAATACTATATGAATCTATCTCACTATCTCACAGGCACACACAGGGAGAGAGAATTAGAGAGAGAGAGAGAGAGAGAGAGAGAGATAGAGTCTGTGGCAATGTGCCCTCACTGCCCTGTGGCCTGTGCCTAATTGCAGACTGCAGTCTGGAGTCTGGACTCTGCAGTTGTCACTTGTCTGTAAATATTCTAAACATATGAAAATAGTAGTTCTCAGCTTATCTATAGTCTATCATATTCATGACCCTCTGGCCTCTCCGCCTCTCCACTAGCAATAAAAATATAAAAAATACGGCTGGTAGACAGTATATGCTCTGTACTCTATACTCTCTCTCGAGTAAATAGTATGAATGTATTCATTATTCAGTGCCACAGTGGCCACTGGCCTATCTCCTGGTCTCCTCTCGAGAATGTAATAGATACAACTGACTTTATCTTTGTTTTCTGAATAGTATTTCTAGAATTTTTAAAAACAGCAAACATGTAGCAAATTGATCTGCCTTACACATGTTTTCACTCCTTACAATGTGCTGACCGCTTGTTAGTACACATGACACACTGACACGAGTCGACGACCGGTTGATAGGGTCATAGCTCAAGCACTCATACGGACTGCAGTGGATGAGTCGGTCCCTTGTGCCATATTACAAAATTGTCAGCTTTTAGTCGAAGAGAAAGGATCGATCGGCAGCGATTTATACTTGTGGAGCAATATGGAGACTAATATAGTAATCATACCCAATGTTTATCATAACTATCCTGTGACCACTGACCTGTAGCCGTAGAGGGTATACGGTAGAGGGACCGAGGGTCAGAATATGAGCGCTACAGTAAACTTATTATTACACCTGCTCGTGTATATAGACACACAAAATTTAGTTTTTTCTCTATATGGCTTTGGATTCCGTTTTTAAAATTATTAGCACTTGTCTTTTCCTGAAGTCGTTTTTGATACGCCGAATTCCCGATAGTTATTCCATTGCTGTATAAATATATTTTTTTGAAAGAGTATGGTATAGATTCTAGTTAAATGATCGCACTCAAGGGTTCATCAGAGTACTATTGGCATCCATAAACTGTTCAATGCTTATTTATCAATTTTATCATTACATCAACATCATGCATTCCAAACTTGACCTCGAAATTCAAAAATATAGTACTCTATTTTATTATAGAGGTGACCGTTGTATATCTGACTCATTTTTTTGTGTAGAAGCAACTAGCGACACTCTCTCTCTAGAGTCTAGAGTGTGTGGGAAAGAGTATGAAAATGAAACTCTCCTGTTTCTCCATCTGACACCTACACGACTTCGTCACAAAGGTAATAAAGATATTACCAGACGGATGACATGACATTCGCTCTCATATCCGTACTATTCCCCCCTAGTATATACTCAGAATTCAGATGTATTCGCTATTAAAAGAGGGATGACACGCGGGCAACATAGACACATGCAAAGCTTATGTAAATACATAGAAATAAACTTGCTATCAGGACTGGCTCTCTAAATTGGTACTTTTGTCTCCTATTATTTTAAAAATATTTATGTAGATACCATACGTATGTACATATTTAGCCTTCTAAAAACAAACAGAAGGCTATAGCGTTTTTTCCTATAAAATAACACAACATAGACTACCCCGCAGCGGGGACGAGCACGGCTCGGAAGAATTGTCGGATTAGTTATTTTTAAATCTTCGTCATAAATTTTACCCGGTCAATCGAACTCTCTTACCCAAAATCAAACACTTACAGCCCTATACAATAAAATCATACTCTCCGATACATAATATATGTCTACTACACTGTCATGGACCACACACACACACACACACACACCACATCCAAACAAGCAGTACTCAATATGTGTGTGAATGAAGTCAATGTGATCGAGAGCGCAAACCAAGCGATCGATGATATTTTCAGGATGATGACTTCGAATCAATGCTTGATGTGGCATCCAAATAATTAAATATATATACTACAGCTATTGTTTATGCCGTTCTAAGTACACACTCTGTATATACATATGTTTGCTGAAGGTATGGTACACTCAAAATTGCAAAGAGTGTATTACACTGGGTCTGGTGGCACACAAATATTATATAGTGACTCTACACTGGTGGAGAGGTGGTACCCAAATATTAAAGTGGCGCCAAAACATTTATAAAGATTAGCTCTTATTGGTCTTTCTTAAGATTAATTTTGATTGGTTCCGACTAAGCGTGATATTTTTATTGGCTTACACTCTTTTTTACCAAACACTAATTCCCACCCCTGGATATATTTTTATTTTCCCATTTTGAAATCCATGACTCACACGCCTCGCACAACCATTATAACCCCTACGGGGTTGAAAAGAAAGAAAATATTAATTCATACTTATACAAGAAAATAAATACTTGCGTTTACTGTTGTGGGTGGAGTGTGGTCTCAGATCAGCATGTTTAAAGCTGATTTTGCATCCATCATTGCAATTTGCAAGTTTCTTACAATATCTCGAAGCCAATTATGTAATAGTGTTTGTCTAGTTAAGACTACTGGTCGTTGCAGACTGACAGCATATATAAGACTACTAGAACAGATAATGCAGGTCTGATGTCGAGTTCCCCCGTAGTCCCACTCACAAAATAAACTGACTCTTAGGCTTATTTGTGATGTGAACGATATCCCAGGAAAATAATATTAAATATTTGTGACCCTCAATGTTACTGAGATGATAATGATAATGCATCCCAATTCAAGGGATGCTGTATTCGACACCGAGTTTGACTTTCTTATCTCGACAATCAATACTACAACATTGGCCCACATACAACGGAAAACACGAGCCTACCAGGCAGTGATAAGACACTATCATGTCATGCTACTGTCCAATCGGAACTCAGGAGCTGAAATGCGGGGGAAAGGATGTAGATGTATGAGAGGCAAAGAAAAAAAACTATGCGAACTCGTATACTTTATCCGGTTTATTTTAGTACATGGATACGAACGCACAGGCAATAACTGGTATATACCTTACAATTAAGTAAGTAGACAATAGTTCCGCACGTGATTATGTTCGCTGACGTACAGAAATATAATATTATACATTTTACTTTTAA